ATGTTTAGAAAATGTTACTATTACAAACCACTGAATGAACAGCCAACTAGCAAAATAAAACAAAAAAACAGCTGTTGTCGGGCATTGGGAATTAAGATACCAGGGCTTTAGATAAGGGTCTGTCATTTTTTGGCCTCTGCAGTGGATTGAAAATGGCTGCAAATTCTTTGCCACACCCTTCTTGGAGAGGTGGGATCTATTCCTTTAACCCTTTGAATCTGGGCTGGGCGTACAGCTGTTGTGACCAAAAGAACACACAGAAGTGACGCCGGTGCCAGTTTCAGGCCTGTATTCTAAGAGAACTTATAAGAGAACTTTGAGAGAGCTCATACCTCCTTCTTGGAACCCAGCTGCCATGTCCAAGCTACCACACAGGGAGGCCCACATGGAGGAGAACTGAGCTGATCTCCCCGCTCACAGGCAGCACTAATTTGCCTGACACCCTGACACGTGATTGAGCCATCTCGGAAGTGGATCGTCTTGCTCCAGTCACAGACACAAGTCTCCCCCCCACCCCCAATTCTGCCCAAATTGCAAAACCATGAGCAAATAAGACTACTTTGAGCCTTAAATTCTGGAGCAGTTTGCTACACAGCCATGGACAACCAAAAAATAAAAAACCTCAAACCAATCACTTCATTTGAGTTCTTCAAATTCTATACGGTATTTATAAAAAAAGAAAAGAGAGAGCAGCAAGGTGTTCACTCATTCACACATCAGCAGGACACCTACTACGTGCCAGACTCTGCACCAGGCCTTGACACAGCTCTTCTTGTGCTTATGAGCTGTGGCTAAGACAGACGTTAAACAACTCATTACGATGAAGGGTGGTTTTCCAAAGAGCAGTATAAAGAAACATAATGGGGTGTGGGAATACCACGTGATCTTGCAGGCAGGCCCCTCCCAACTCTGATATTTTATAATTAATTTGATGACGAAGAATACGTGTATCTGTGAGATGGCCACTTAGAGATAGTCACCCAAGATAATCTATGCAGAGAACACTTTCTTCTATACAATCCTACTTCTTAATTAGCGCATCAGTGAAGATGGGTTTCAGGAGTTACCTAACAAATGAACGGTGAAAGCATGGAGAGTTGCCTCTTCGGAAGTGGAATGATCTGATAACCGAGGCTTTGAATGAAGAGATAGGGAGAGTAAACGAAACATGATTTCCAGGTGCAACCAATGTTTTAAAGTAAATGGCGATGGAGAATTTTGCCCGTTCTTTGTTTAAATAATGATTAAAAGGCAAGGAATATAAGTTGATTGCTTCAGAGAAATTCTCTCAATAAAAAAAGAATACTCTTTCATCCCCAGAGGTTTTAATGATTGCCAAGAAAGGACACATTTTCAAAAATAAATTTTTATTTCCCTAGATAAATAGGCAGCTGTCAAGCAGGCAAGCAGATCAAGCAGAAAGCTATTCTGCAAGGATGAGTAAATTCAAGTTTTACTCTGATCTTGCTAAACCTTAAGACATCTTCCTTCTAAAGTATGAATTATTCTAAGAGCCAAGAGATGTATCTGTGACAGTTAAAACTATATACTGGTCCCACAAGTTTTACTGAGACAAACAGAGCTAACTGCTGACTTAAAACTCAAGACCATGAGGAAGAAGATACCAGAAACTTCCCTAGTATCTTTATAATTTAGTGCTGCTGAAAGTGTGGCCATTCAGTTTCTTGATCATGGGGGAGGAAGGTTGAAAGTCAAACATTTAATTTTCTAAGTACCTTTGATTTGGCTGATGTTAAAGTCCTTCTTTAACCTCATATTTTTTTATAAAATCCTTTGAATCTTTGATAGGGACAGCTATAGCCAAGAAAAAAAGAACAAACTGCCAATTCATGTTTCTAAAATTTTCCTTTTGCATTTCTATTGTTACTGGTAGGGATTCGTTGCTTTTTCAAAAGAGTTCAGACTTGACATAAGCCATCTATGGTCAAAGAATAAATAAAAATGCGTTTGAATGTTCACAGATAGAGGCAATTTTATTATCTCCAGTAATCAACTCACAGGATCTTAAATGGCTGTTGTTCAAACTAAAGACACAAAAAGAAACACATTCACGAATTTCCTGGTTTTCCATGTTAAATTTCTCATACATGCAAAACACCTCATTCCCAATAACCAGTTCTACCATCTCCTAATCCTGTCTCCCTCATACCCAAATTCCTCCTGCCTTCCTTGTATCTGAGCATTTCTGTGCCACTATAGACAGACGTCAACCCCTCAAAAGCTTGCTGACCAAAGCTTGCTGCTCTCGCTAACGGGATCAGCAAATTACAACCAGAAATTGATTAAAGTCACTCCCTCTTGTTCAGGATATTATGGAGTCAGTGTCAACATTATTGTCAAAGAGTCAATGACTCCTGTGGCTAGAGGACCCTTTGTAGAAGGGGTAAGTGCACGAGTCAACACCAATGAGAGGACTCATGTTTACGATACCCAGGCTAATGTGGGTCCTTTCAGAGTTCTTCCAGGCATTGAAATGCCTGGTGAACATCAGGCTGGATCTGACCCCATGATGACCTCCAGACAACAGTGAGTCTCCTGGGCAATCAGAGACATGGTACTAAAGGGGCCCCTGAAGGTTTTTATTAGCTCTGTGCTTCCAGGTGAGGAGGAGAAGTCAGCCATCAAAAGAGATGGCATCTTTGCCCCACAAGGTGTTAAAGGAAAACCAAAGTTTAAGGGAAAAATTACAGCAAAAAGAATAAACTCTACACCAAAGACCTAATGTGAAAAATATAAACGAATTGTATTTGGATCTGTGGATATTGATCCATGGATACTACAGAAATGGTAAATACTGAAGCTATTGGCCATGATAAATTGAACTGAGACCTAGGGTTTATAAGATATGAACCACACATACCTTCTTGCCTTACAAATTCTCTCTTTACACATACCCTAATTTAAAATATGTACAAAAAGTAAAAATAACTTACAGATTACTGCAACTACTCAACCTGTAAGGAAACTAAGATTGGGAGGGACAGAGGTACAACTAAATCACGGAACCTAGAACTGGCTCGAAAAAAGGCAAAAAAAAAAAAAAAAAAAAGGAATGAACAGACACCAATGACAAGGAAAGAAAATTTGGTAAAGGATATAGCTGGAGCAGAAACTTGTTTATTTTCTTAGGGACAAGACAATGTCATCCTATAATGCTCAAATATTATTTTTCCAGCTAACACAGGACCACAAAGCACCCTCAACTCTTTCATCTGGCCACAGCTTTATAGGGATTATTTAAGAAATGGAAACGAGGCCAAAAAATGGAGAGTTTTACCTTGCACCTGAGTGTCATAAACTCTGGGCTCATCTAATGCTAATACCATTAAAGTCAATTCACACCTCCTCTTTCTCGGCTCAGGGCTCTAGCCACCCTCATTCTAAATCTTAAAGGAAGGTTACTGAACAGCACACTTCAGGTGATAAGAGTTAAGGCCGCTGCACAGAGAGAAACAATGTGAAGGGCCTGGCAAAGACCCTGCAAGAGATATGTCTTTAGTTTTGAGTTTTTAAATGATCTCAAAAGATACATCAAAGACTTTTCCTTAAACAGTGTTAGTTATAGATGAGTAGGGCCCTGGGTTCTAGTTCAGATTTGAGACCTTTCCCTGAATATGAAATTGGCAGAAGTCACTTAGGTCCTCATGACTCCTTCCTCACCTCCCATTTTTAAATTAAGTTCTCACTTTCAGCATTTCTCAAGGCTTCTACATCACAGGGGCAACCACCATGGGGATTAGGAAATGCTTTACCTCATTTGGCCTCAGAATGTTATTTCAAACTAGAGCAGGAACAGCACAGCAGCATGACGCTTAGAGCACCAGCCAAGGGTCCACCCCATTCACTGTTGGATACCAGCCCACCTTCTCCTCTTCTCCCCATCTCTTCCCAACACCACCCCTCCCCCCCCACACCCCATCTTCTCTTCTCCATTGGTCACCTGACATCACCACTATCTGCTCCCAGCTGCTTTCACAGTGGTCTTCTCTTCCCCTTCCCTCTCCTCAGCCCTACTCAAGCAGCGCAGGCTACTTCCACTACTTATGTCCCACAAATGGCTCAGTGATGGTGCCAAGAGGGAAACCCACAGCCACCAAGCCTCCTGCTGGAGACACCAATCACACAGACTTGCTTTTCTCTTTTGAGCATCCAGTTCTGTAGGTTTCTCATCACCACTCTTCAGGTATTCAAAGCTTTGGGGGATGTGCCCGAGGCATCCCTAAAGTCGTCGAAAAAGGTGGCTTTGAGCATCTTACCGCTCACATATTTGCATACTGTTTGATGTAGCTTTAATTTCAAAGCTGGTCTCAAACACTCAAGTGGATACGTTACAGTGGGAGCCCAGAAACTGCAAAGGCGCTAGCCTCAAAGACTCAGGAGTCGAGACCCGGGCAGGAAATAAAGTTCTAAGCCGCTTTGATGTGCTTCCTCCCCACAGCCCTCCCCGGCGCGGGTCATTCATCTCCGCCTGGGGAAGAGACCACCTTGCCTGAACTTAGCCAAACGCGTCACACGTGGGAGCTTCAATAATCCAATGCGGCCCCCTCACCACCACCACCACCCCCAGCCCCACAAAATTAGTTACCGTCGACTTAAGCTCAGCTGGGACCTCCGTGTATTTTACCGACTAGGAAAAGAAATGATGCATATACATTGGGGGACGCGGGTGGGAAGGGACAGGGGGTCCAGATTGTTGAGAGTAAAACGCCTCGGCGGCTTGGGGAGAGGTTGTTTCTTTTTTAAGCCACTGATTTCAGACTGAAATATCACGCCAGTTCAGGTCATTTCCTGAGTAGCACTACAAGTTAAAACAAGATCCAGAAAATCTATTAATCTTCGATTGCGCTGCCTCCCGACTGGGAGCACGAGGGGGTTGGGCGGAGCGGGGTGTGGAGCCGGGGGAGATCGGGGCGGGGAAGGGGTTTGCGGAAAAGCAAATGCACGAGAAACCCTAGCTCCTGACCTCAGCTGTTTCTTACCTCACTCAGCTCGGCCGAGGAGTCGCTTCCATATTTCATGGCAACTCCAGAATTCATGATGCACTTTTCAGAGCCGGGCTCTTCCTCCTCCAGGTCTCGGAGCTGAAGAGTTGGGCTTAACGGGCTCGATATCCACTGCTTGGTCCCTTCTGGCGCATTTTAGTCTAGACAGCCATTTTCGCCCAGGACAGTTGCGAAGCCCAAAGGAAGGATGCGAGCACTCCCAACAGCAGCAGAGCCGGCTCGCGTTTCACGGACGAGCCGTTGCTGCAGGAGGCTCGGCGGCGCGGCGCGCTCGCAGCTGCTGCAGCGGCGGGGCCGGGTCCCAGGGCAGTGCCACCCAGGGCGCCGCCTCGCCACTCCTACGGTGTCTCGCCGCCCCCCATTACCCGGCTGGAGGGCACCTCCCAACACGCGCTGGCACCCTAGAGGGCTCCGGCGAGCTCCGGAAAAAACTAGGGCGGTGGGTGAGGAAGATCCGCGCCTCGGCTTGCAGGGAAGGAAAGAAAGCTGGAGAGGGCTGGAGGCGAGCTGCGCTTCACGCCGAAGTTTCCCCTTTGAATCGTCTGGAGTTGTAAGTGGTTTCTGATTGAACACAGCTGTCTAGCTGCGGCCGCGGGGTGCGCGGGGGAGGCGGGGCCAGGAAGGGAAGGGTGGGGGCGCGCAGGGAGGCGGCCGCGCCGCGGAGCCCGTGCCGAGAGAGCAGGCATCCTTCCAGTTCTCTGCAATAGCAATTAAGGACCCAAGTCCAGGAGGGGGAGAAGAAACAGGAAAAGCCACCTGAGTAATCGTGCAGGAAATTAAAATTAAAAAAAGAAAACAAAAAAACCCCCACTGCCCTCGTAGGAGCCACGTTCCATGATTTAGTAAGGTCAAAACAAACCTAAGCACTGTACACCAGGCAGCGCTGTGCACTTCTCACGGTACATTAAGATTTTACAAGAGTCAGGGGCGGTCATTTTCTCTGATCAGTCTAAAGTCAACACTGAGGGTGTGAATTCACTGTCAAACTCCCTGTTTCTGTCCCTGGGGCAGAGTACATTTTGTGCATGTCCGTAATGAAGATAAAGATGCCCCATCCCGTGAAGATGTAAGATAGGCTGATATTTCCCATCCTCCCCAACCCTCAAACCTTCCTTAAAAATCTTACTGCTCATCTGAACGGAGCTAGATTTATATTTATGGAGTTTGAAGTATGAACCAGAAAAGATTCAAAGCGCAGTTATATCCAGGCGACCCCCGGGATCAGAGCTCCCCTTCAGCTTTGAGTTCCCCTGAGGTAAAACATGCCCTGTCTATTGTGGGTGAGGTGGGTGGGAGGAGGGGGGAGGGTGGGATTTTCTCTCCATAAAGTTAAAGTCCTACAGATATTGAGATGCACAAAAAAGCGTTCTGATCCCTTAAAACAGTAGTCTGCGGGATTGCTTGAGAGATCTCATCAGTCTCTTTCTACACAATGGGAACAAAATGTCTCCAGCCCCAACGACAGACCTTGGCATTTCCTGAAGTCTTCTATGAAAAAGCCATTGTATTATTAACGTCCAAGGTCTTTTTTTTTTTTTTAACTCAACTACATTGTTTATTTTGCTCTTTAAGAAGGAGGAAAGAGTGCAACTATTTACATGTATCTTTTCACCCATCCCCCTTCCCGGTTGAGTTCATTCATGTCTGATGGAGGCACTGCTGGGATTGGAGAGTCTGCTGCTTCTTCCAGAGCACTGGGTCCCATATTCTTGGGCACTGCCAGGCTAGAGCACATTCTGCATCGGGAGGAGTTGGGAAGCCAAATTATTTAATTTATTTATTCATTAAAACCTGATGAGAATGATTTTGCGCTTGAAGCTAGAGGTGGTGGTACATATTATTAATAACGTATAAAATAGACTCAAGCACTGCCCCTGCCCTTGAGGTGTTTCTAGTCACATAAAACATGAACAGAAATGACAATTCTAGATAGAAAATGATACTTGCCATGAAAGTGGTACAAATGAAGAGCTGTTGCAGCTCAGAGGAGGGAAATACGATTTTGTCTGGACAGGATAAGGGGAGAAGACTCCGAAGGAACCATAGAAGAGGCAGTGTGTGAGTTATCTTTGAAGAACGGCTGAGCCCAGCAGAGAAGGACAGCAAGTAGAACGTATTCCAGGCAGCGGTACCGCTGTGAGAGGAGGTGTGGATGCAGACTGGGATGTGCAAAGCAGGCACAGGAATCGCAGGCATTCCATTCTGGAATGGAAGCTGGGTGAGAAAGGAGGGTTGAAGCCAGACTGTGGACGGTTGTCAGTGCCAGGCTAAAGAAATGGGACTTCTTGACAGGCAGTTGAGAGCCACCAAAGGTTTTCAAGCATAGTAATAATGGGGATCAGAGCTGTGTTTTTAAATATTCCAGTAGATTTGTATCACAGTCATGAGTAACTAACATGAATTCAAATAGACTGATGTTGAGTGTGATTCTGGTGTTTAAAGATACATATTTTTCATACTGCATGGCCTGTAAAGCTAGGCAGATGACTTCATCTGGTGTTGAACCGAAAGGAAAGTAAACTGTTCCAAAAGTGGAGGAAAAACTAGCAGTGTTGAACTTAACTAAGAAGCAGTATGTCTGTGGATTCTATTTTAAGGACAATATAAGGCATTTTCAAGTGTAATGTTTACCATACAAGATTTTCTTCATAAACAATGACTTGAATACTTCAATACGTATACATCCTGTAAGAGCAACTCTACCACGGTCTGGCAGCAGCAGATGTGCTAAGTTGAAAGTGAGAAATGGACGTGCCAATTGGACTACCACAGCAGTCCAGGAAGAGGTTAAAAGGGCCTGAATTAAGTAGGGGCAATGGAAACAGACAGGAGCGGGCAGAGGTAAGAGATTCTATAGAAAGAGAGTAGAAAGAAATTGTGGTATTAAGATGAGAACTTAAAAACAACTTGCAGATCTAGAACTTGGCTGACTGGGGTTAGGGTAATGTCCTCAACAAAAATAGGGATGCCAGAGAAGAGATAGGTTTAGGAGGAAACTAAGTATGGGATACCGTGAGTCTGAGGTGGCATCTAGATATTCACATGAAGATGTTCAGCAGGAAGCTTGAATAGGAACTATACAGGTAAATCAGGGTTGAGGTGGAGATGGAGGTTTGGGTGTTATCCCTGTTACAATAATAAATAAAACCAGGAAATCAGGTAAAGTCATCAAGGAAGAAAGGACAGAGAGAAAAGAAGTGGTCTGAGGACACTATCTTAAGGAATGCTTCTGTTTGTTTGTTTTTTAATAGAGGCAAAAAATAAAAGAGGAAAGGGTAGGGAAGGCCAGTTAAAGAAATAGGAAGATAACCAGGAGAGCTCTGTGTCTGGCAGTCTAAGGAAGATGTTAAGACAAAAGGAGCAGCATCAATATTATATACTACGGAGGAGAGAGAAGCCTAAAGACTGGTAAAAGATCCTTCAAAGACATATGTCCTGGAATGATAAATCCCTGTAAAGCTGGAGAGACAGAGGCAGATTAGCACAGGGACAGGGAGGGACTGGGGCAGTGACCATGCACTACCTTTTCCATAAATTTGATGGTGACAGAAAATTGGGAGATGGGATGATCTCTTAGAGGAGGTAAGCAATGTTGAGTAGAGAGTAGAATGGGCATGTTTGTAGGCTGAAGCTAAGGGAAACTCTGGAGACATAGAGAGAAAGGAGGTGGCGCAGATTTCCTGAAAAGGGAGAAAAGGAAGCACCAAGGACAAAAACCACGCACTTTGGAGTAGGCTTGGAGAGGAGAGGATTCAGATACTTCTTCCTAAGAGACCAGGAACAGTGGGAGAACTGCAGAATTTATAGACTAGGGAAGAGAAGGCCTGAGACATACATGATAACTAATAGAGTCAACCAACTTCCTCTTTGTGATAGTGGAGGGGAAATGAAGACTAATGAAAATTTATAATCTGATTCTGGCTCAAGGAAAGTAAGACCATGGCAGTATCTGTCAATGCAAGAGAATGAAGTAGTTGTGATCCCCATCCCTGAAATTATTCAAGCATGGGTTATAGGACAGCGGGAATACCAAAGACAGTTGTATGTAAAGAGTAGGGATTCTTGCATTGAAGGAGAGTCTAAATTAGTTTTCCTATAATCTAAGATTCCATGAAACGAAAATTTTTTTGGCTATAGTTATCTTGTGATTTTTTTTCACCACTTAGTCGTGATCTCTGCTATTAAGAAAGCTAAAATACTGCTTTAGACCACAATGCAACTAGGTCAATATCCTAAGAGTGTTACAGATGTAAGGAGCACCTCAGCATGTCATCTCAGCACACCGAAGGACAATAAAGCCCCAGTGCATTTCCAGCATAAAGAAAAAGATCTCAAGATTAGAGCTCTCCATGGTTTACCAAGTACATAACTGTACATACCTAGAAATCCTTTTATCTTGTGGCTTCCTCAACATGATCCCTCCAAGAAAGCTTCTCCAAGTCCTCCTGCTTCAGCAGGGAGTACGCTCCTATTGAGAGATGTGGGAAGGAAGTCGCAGGGGAATTTACCAAGATCGAGGAGCAGGTCTGGGAGAAGGAGGAAAACCTGCCTCCTCACCAGGCAGTAGCCTGGCAATAGCCTGGTGCTTGGGTTCCTCTCCTTCCTGAACCTTGTCTTCCCGAGAAGGCCAGTCTCTTCTCATCTGGTCTCTGGATGAGAGGAGGCAACAATAGTCCTGGGAGAGTTTCTAGCTAAGTGGAAGCTGCCCTGTGCATGACTGGATGAGTCTGTGTACCAGTTCCACGCTGTAGGCACCCTGGCATCACCCTTCTGCTGTCAGGGGCAGTCGGGCCCCTCTATGTATGGCTGCTGACCTCAGTGAATCTCTCCTATTCTAGGTCTGGTCTGTGATGGTGATGAACATCAGGTTAATCGAAGTAATCGTGGATAAAGCCTTGAACCTCCAGAACTATGGAAATTGGCTGAAACCTTGGGACTGGCTGACCTGTTCCCTCTGTCTCTACCCCTGGGGTGCCCAAGTAGTCCACTGTGCTGAGGAAGGCCTGTCCTCCTCCAGCCTGCAGAAGGACCCAAATTCCAAAATTGTCCCCTTCCCCCTTGACTCTCTCAAGCTAAACAAAACATTGATACCTCAGATTTTAGAAGAGAGCAGCAGTCTGGTTAAGCTAATTCACACAAAGGTGGAAAACACTTACAATCTTCTCAACCACGCCCAGAGTATTTACGCTGTAAAAAGAGAATGCTTTGAAAT